CACTAGATTTAATACCACCAAGAGATTATAAAGGAGGCAAAGTTCTGTGTGTTTGCTGCAGCCCATGGTGACATTCCTAGGCAGGGTGCTGCATTCTTTGTACTGCTTTGAGTGTTGGCAATAGTACCAGTCATTATAGGAGAGAAAGAACTCTGAATATATACATAGCTTGGCAGGTACTAGGAAGAACTAAAGTTCAATTATTCATCTGTACATCTTTTCTTGCAGATATGAAATTTAACAGTTTTCCATTCAATACAGCTTTGGTTCTTTTAACCTGATCCCACAGTTTATATGGTAGGCAGCCTACAAATTAAGAAAATGGGGTTGTCTCCGAGGATAAAGGATCTGATTTGATGCCAGTTGAAATCAGTGAGAGCCATTTAATTGGATAAGGCCCAAAATTACTACATAGAAAATCCCCTCATTTATCCTTTAGTACTTTACTTCTCATATCCTGATTCCCATCAGAATTGTACTGCTGCCATATTTGGATTCCATCTCATATGTATTAAGCTCCAACCATGGTAGGTGCTTTATAAATAGATACAAAGACAATGACCTTCACCTGGAGAGTTTATGGTTTAGTAAGCGGGCAACGCAGGAGGAAAATAGTGAAAAACAATATGATTAAATGGTGAAATTAAGCACACCTTGTTAGTTCCAAGGGTTACAGTTTTCAGTTTTGTTTACGTACACATTGTTTTCAGTAAGTTAAGGAGGTGAAGATGGGCTAGGGTTTATAGGTTTTTGAGGAAGTTTGATTTCAAGATGGAAGAAGATGGTGGAGGTCAGCCAGAGCAACTCAGAGAGGGGAGTTCTGGCCTATAGAGCAGTCCAGAATAAGGCCTCGAGGCAAGAATGAGAGAAAGTCACAAAGGGAGCATCAGTTATGTGGATTAGGGTGAAGAGGGCAGCAGAAAGAGAGGAAAATTAAGAATTAAGGCTGGTCTACACTAGAAAATTAGATTGATCCAGCTACATGACTCAGGAATGTGAAAAATCCACATCTCTGAGCAATGTAGTTAAGCCAACCTAAGTCCCCATGTAGACAGTGCTAGGTCAACAGAAGCATTTTAGGTGTAAACATAGCCTTGTACTGGAGTAAGGTTGGATAAGCCCTTGAAGGGAGATGGAGCTTAAATATGACCCTTTACACAAGGAATGGGTGGATAGGGAACCAAATTTCTAAGGCTGTAAATATTAACACACTACATTAGCTTCCCCATTACTCTTTTAATTAACAGTTGTGTTTTTCCATACAGAAAAAAACACAGCATCTATTGGAAATGCAAACACACAGCTGGTAAACCAAAGATGACAAGAAAGGAAAAGCAGACCGAGCACAGCAGTTACATGGAGTTTTACTAAAATATTTGTAATAAAGTTTACCACAATGGGCTGTGGATCTCAGAATTAGCTGACTTATTCCTTTAGTTCACTTGGAACTTGTATATCTAATAAATGACTTGTTTCTTTTGCATATCTAATAAATGATTTAGCAGCTTTATTGAAGTTCCCAAATCATCATCATGGTGGTCAGTTCATTTTAAATATGTTGTGGGAAGGAAGACACTACTTTTAAGTGACTTGCCTAAAGCAACACAATAAATCTGCAGCAGAATAAGGATTAGAATCCAGGAATTTCTAGTTCTGAGTTCTCTTTTCAAACTATAAAACCACACTGCCTGCTCTAGACCACTTTCTCCTTTCTACTAATTGCTGAGAGCTCTAACTTGCAATTTCTAGCTATTCTTTCACGGGCCAAATTCTTAGTCAACAAATGCAGTGCTTAGAAGAGGATTTCCAGTCTTACTACTCTTTCCTTCCCAGTAAATTTACAGATTTCCGTGACTGAAACAATAGAGATTCCACATGTTGATTTCCTCATATTTTTTTAGCTTGATTTCAGCCACCTGGTGATATGAGATCATATATAATCACCTCTGTCTGACAGGCACCTGATAGTTTCCCTTCCTTAAAAGCAAAAATGAAATTACACTATATTACACCAAAAATGTGATCATGTGTAGTAGTGTATACTTCTAGCCTAATCTAATCAGCAGTTTGCTGTTGTGATACATACACACACACAGCTCATTAAACTGTTTTAATATGTTTAGATCATTTTCTGTAATTTTCTTCATCCCCCCCCCCCCCCAAAAAGTTCATCTGGCATTTTTCATAGATCGCTAGTTATTCATAGGGAGATTAAGTAGATTGGTCCTATGACTAATGTTCCTTTGGCTCATAAGAATGGCCATAGTGGGTCAGACCAATGTTCCATCTAGCCCAGTATTGTGTCTTCTGATAGTGGCCAATGCCAAGTGCTTCAAAGGGAATGAATAGAACAGGGCAATTTTTGAGTGATCCATCCCATTGCTCACTCCCAGTTTCTACCACTCAGTGGCTAAGGACACCAGAGCATGGGGTTGCATCCCTGACCTTCTTAGCTAACAGCCATTAATGAAGCTATCCTCCATGAACCTATCCAATTATTTTTTGATCCCCGTTACAGTTTTGGCCTTCACAACATCCCCTGGCAGTGAGTTCCACAGGTTGAATGTGTGTTGTGTGAAGAAGTACTTCCTTACATTTATTTTAAACCTGCTGCCTATTAATTTAATCCAATGACCCCTGATTCTTGTGTTATGTGAAGGGGTAAATAACACTTCCTTATGCAGGTTTTCCACACCATTCATCATTTTGTAGACCTCTATCATATCCTCCTTAGTTGCCTCTTTTCCAAGTTGAACAGTCCCAGTCTTTTTAATATCTCCTCATATGGAAGCTGTTACATACCCCTAGGAATTTTGGTTGCCCTTCTCTATACCTTTTCCAATTTTAATATACCTTTTTTGAGATGGGGCAACCAGAACCATACACAATATTTAAGGTGTGTGCATACCATGGGTTTAAATAGTGGCATCATCATACTTATTGCCTTATTATAATAATATATTCTATGATTCTAAGTGAGTGAATTTATCAAGCCCTGATTATTCAAATGCAAAGTTATCACAGCAAATATGTATCTCATATGGAACTTTCAATATTAAGAAGATTTTGGAATAAATGAAAAACTCCTTTAACTGTGAATAGGTAATAAGCTGTCGCAGTTGCTGGGGCCAGTTACTAAAGGGAGACAGTTACAGCACCACTTACCCAACCCATATACATTTTAAAAAGGTTACATTAATCAAAATTATTATGGGTTGTACAGGCAGAGCAAAGCAAATGAAAAAAGTATCAGGGGGTAGCCATGTTAGTCTGGATCTGTAAAAAGCAACTGTGGCACCTTTAAGACTAACAGCTGTATTGGAGCATAAGCTTTCGTGGGTTAATGCCCACTTGTCGGATGCACTGACGAAGTGGGTATTCACCCACGAAAGCTTATGCTCCAACACATCTGTTAGTCTTAAAGGTGCTACAGGACTCTGTTGCTTTTTACAAATGAAAAAGCAGCATTCTGTTTAAGCCCACTGAAATACCTTGAACCTGCTGAAACACAATCAGAACATACTCATGACATATAAGGACTTAAGCCTTTTATTAGATCATTAATGCCTACTTCCAGTGCTTAAACAGAACACTACATGTAAGAGATTGAAATATTGCTTGTAAGTTGCAGTACCAGTAATGCCACAGATTTAATATTTGATGTGTATTGTGCTGAGTATATATCTTTTCAGAAAGTCACTGGATAATTTAGGTCCTGACAGCCTCCTCTAATACAGCCAAGCTTTTATTCAAATAAAATATATTACTTTTTACTTTGAGTAAGTCAGTCACCAAGATAGTGGATTGCCCTGAAATGCTACTAGTGTTCCATCCCATGTAATATGTGTAACAGATGGCTACTTTTAACAAACATAATTTTGCTGGAAGAGGGGAAAATGTTAGAAGTCTGTAGATGCAATATGCATTTAACTATGCTTGTAAATATTCAAGTTTGTATCCAAATAAAATATATCACCTTGTTTGCAGATACAATGAATACAAAGCTGAGCAATGCATAAATTTGACACTGGCAGTTGGGTGCTCAGTTTGCATCAATTCAATTACCAATGGGAGATAGGTACCTAGCTGCTCTCTGTTCCTTTGAAAGTCACCCCCTCAGAGTCTGAGGTTCAGCAAAAAGAACAGGGGCAGTCAGGGGCTACACCTCCCTTATCTAACATGTTCCAAATGCTCAGTGCTGCGAGATGAAACCCCTGTGGCACCTACTGGGCACCACTTTTCTAGAAATTTCCAACTCCTATAATGCCCACAACTGAGAATGGTGCAGGGTACACCTTGAAAAAAAAAAAAGATTCTTATTTGATATAACATTAAGTACTATTCTCTAATGGAAACAATATTAATTTTATAAGCCTGTTCAGTGTAGCATCTTGCAATTGCTCCTGTAGCAAAGGGGATAAACATCTGAACTGCGATAATTCACCAGTTCTATTAAATGTTCTCTATTCTGAACAGACCTGTGTTGCTACGAGTTAACTTCTGAGTTACCTTTTGAATAGAGGCAAAAAAAAGGGTGGAAATTATGCAGAAATTTCAGAGGCATTTTCTGCGACATTTTTGTAACAGTACTGCTTTTGCTGACTAATTTTTCTGCAGAATTATCAAAAAACTTTTTAAATTAATTTTTTTTTTAAAAAGTTGCATCCTAACTTTGAAAAAAAACCCACCATACAACTAAGCTGATTAATCAGAGGTTGCACAGTAGCAATAAAAATTCACACATGGAAAATGTTGAATACATTGAGATATTTTGACAATTTTTTGTTTTTAAAGTAAAAAATTCAACCAAAATGTTTGTTTTTAAGTTCCGACCTGTTCTACTATAATATATTTAGTTTAGCAACATATTATTTACTTCAATGTGCTCCTTCGATACAGTTTGTGGTAACATGAAAGTTCTTATGAAACTGTACAGAGCAAAAAGATGTTGACAATGTTCTTAAATTTAAATTAGAGTATTAAAATACACTCCAGAATACTTCTTGCTCAACACATTTATTCCTCCTATGTAGTACAGTGGATTATATACAGTTGTAGGACTGTACAATGATTATGCGGTCCAATTAACTTCCCTATGATGGTAGCTTGCTTCATTTATAGCAGAGATGACAAGTCATGGAATGCATACTCAACGAAGAGCCATTTAATGATGGCCAGCAGCAGAAGATTCTGAAACAAACACACAATTTAGACTGTTCAAAAATTAAAGTAATAGAAGTCTATAATTCAGGACAGATACAGTTAAGTATCCAAAGCTATGAATAGCCAAAAATTAGATGAATCAGTACATCAAAGTATTTGAAAATTCTTCATATATCTACAAGTGTAGCCTAATATTTTAACATTTACATTATCAATATTATTGGTTAAATATGATTTCACTTACCTCTGAAGTCAGGATATATTTAAGTGGGGTAAATAGTTATTGCGGTACAGTGTAATGGGAGGTATTTTAATTTTACCTGTAAGGTTAGATGACATGTCTTTATGTACAAAATTGACTCAATTTGGAGCAAGTGAATTGTCTATCTTTGCAGTCAGGATTGAAATAAGACAATTGCATTAGTGGAGGAGTAATAAGAAAATTATGACTTTAAAACAGTCACAAGCAATGATATACTTAAAAATCTTAAGGATCGCATATTAAACTTTTACAAAAAATAAATGTTAAAATGAACTAGTTTGTTGATAGCTAAAAATGGTAACTTAGTTAAAATTAAGGTCTACCTGGTTAGATTAAAAAAACCTCTATAAAATGGTTAAGCCCATTGAATATATATTTTAGAATCCTTTTTTAAAAAGTTTCTCCTGAACTACCACTACTGTTCTGTAGCAGAGATTAACTTAGTTTATTACACAAAGGAAAAAGTATCAATGGAAAATGGAGCATTTTACAGATGTACAGCTACGTTACCAGGGTTGTAAACACTCTGACAACCATATCAGAGTAATAGAGAGAACTATAACAAAAACTGAAGGTTCCCTTTAAGGTCTACTTTGCAATATCCATAATATAAAAACAAACTAAATTAAAATTAATATGTTGGTCTATTTGCTTTAAATCTTATTCATGGTTAAAATAAACTATAGAATACTCTGCTCTATAACACAAATACTTACTGTCTGCCACTGCTTTTTTACCTAGAAACAGAAGAAAAATTGAAATGTTCAAAATTTAGCTTTGCAGTTTTCACTTTCATTTTCAAGTTTCAAGCTCCTGAAAAACTAGTATGCAACCAAACTTGGACCAGTTTGCAGTGATGACAGGAAATGTACATGTTCTGAAAAGTTAAGCATACTGCAAAATATACTTTGTTAAAGTAACTATCAAAACAAGCTGTTAAAAAAATTACAGTATACTGATTTTTTAATAAGTGTAATAAAGTGTTATAAGATCTCATTATAGCATGCTGTTAAATCTTTGAGATATAAGGAGTGTTTTTGGAAGAATTACTTAAATTAATGCTATAATGCTTTTAAATATATATATATATATATATATATTTATACACGTTAAGACTTCTAACTGTAAGTTCACAAGTTACCCAGGGGAGAAGATTGCACAAGTTTGTATAATCATGTACTGTACATTTAGAGATATTTATCTAGATTCTCTGGTGACACATGATTACTTTAGGCCATATTGTTGGTTTATCTGGCCACAGGAAGATTTTCCTAGTGCAAAGGCGTAGAGCAGGGATTGGCAACTTTTGGCACGCAGCCCGTCAGGGAAATCTGTTGGCGGGCCTGGCTGGTTTACCTGCAGCGTCTGCAGGTTCGGCCGATCGCAGCTCCCGCTGGCCATAGTTCACCGTTCCAGGCCAATGGGGGCTGCAGGAAGTGGCGTGGGCCAAGGGATGTGCTGGCCACCGCTTCCCGCAGCCCCCATTGGCCTGGAACAGCGAGTGGGAGCTGCGATCGGCCGAACCTGTGGACGCTGCAGGTAAACAAACTGGCCCGTCCCATCAGTGGATTTCCCTGACGGGCCGCGTGCCAAAGGTTGCCGATTCCTGGTATAGCGCTAGCAGTGTAAAACCAGCATAGTAGTGCCTACTGCACTCTATCTTCGGCAGGAATGGAGCTGTGGTCAGATATTCTCTACGCTCTGCCAATCCTTGTCTGCAGTTTCTAGCCCTTTACAGCTATTAGCAGTTGGCACAAAAGCAGTCTTTAGGGGGCTAGCACAACACAGACTAGACTGAAAATTAGGGAAGTGCAAAGGTGAGCTTAACACTAACTTTGTAGTACCCTCCTGAGTAGTGCTGGGTGCATTTTGGCCAGTCCACAGGATCTGGCATATTAAAGGTACACATTTTTACACGATACCTCAGAGTGGTTTGCAAAACTGCAGTTTTTCTGTGAAATTTGCTTCAACAGCACCAAATTACCACTTGTGCAAAACATCTGCTGTGATACTGGAGGTGAATACTCCTGGCCCAAAATATACCAAATTCATTAGTACTAGGGCTGTTGATTAATCAGAGTGAACTCATGCAATTAACTAAAAACAATTATTCATGATTAATCACACTGTTAAACAGAATATCAATTTAAATGTATTAAATATTTTGGATGTTTTGCTACATGTTCATATATATTGTATTCTGTGTTGTAATTTAAATCAAAGTGTATATTATTTTTGATTACAAATATTTGCACTGTAAAAATTATAAAAGAAACAGTATTTTTCAATTTACCTCATACAAGTACAGTAACTCCTCACTTAAAGTCGTCCCGGTTAATGTTGGTTCATTGTTACTTGTTTAAAGTTACGCAATGCTCCCTTATAATGTTGTTTGGCAGCTCCCTGCTTTGTCCACTGCTTGCAGAAAGAGCAGCCTGTTGGAGCTAGCTGGTGGGGGCTTGGAACCAGGGTGGACCAGCAGCCCCCCCATCAGCTCCCTGCTCCCCCAAGTTCCCCTGTGCAGCAGCCGCCCAGCAGGCTATCAATTGCTGGCAGTTCAGCTGTCCCTCCTCCTACTGCTATGTGCTGCTCCTGCCCTCTGCCTTGGAGCTGCTTCCGGGAGCCTCCTGCTCGCTGTGCAGGACGGGGAGGGAGGGAGGCTAATGTCAGGGTGTCCCCCTCCCCGCTGCTCCCCTGCTAACCCCATCTCCATAGAGCGGTGGGGGGCAGGAGGGGAGACACAACAGGGCTCAGGACAGAGGGAGCTAGCTGGCAGCAAGGGCTGACTCAACTTGCTGATCTACTTAAAAAGGCAATATACTTAGAGTGGGGTCAGCGTACTTAAAAGGGCAATGTGGATCTCTCTTTCACACACACACAGGGTGTATGTCTATCTCTATCTGCCTTGCTGTCTCGCCTCCCTCCATTTGTTCTGCCTCGTAGAGTGTGAGGCTACATTAACAACAATGTGTTAATCTTGAGGGTTCAGCCGAGTACTAGTTCATCATTTAGCAGTAAGGCATTTCCTGGGAAATATCCCACCCTCTGACTTCACCACCTCAATCAAGTTTCACAATCATCATTGCTGTGTACAGTATTAAATTGTTTAAAACTTACACTGTGTGCGCGCGCATATATATATATATATATATATATACATATGCATACACATGCACACACACAGTCTTTGTTTCGGATGAAAAAAATTTCCCTGGAATCAACCCCCCGCCCCGCCATCTACATTAATTCATATGGGGAAATTGGATTCACTTAACATCATTTCACTTAAAGTTGCATTTTTCAGGAACATAACTACAATGTTAAGTGAGGAGTTACTGTACTGTAGTGCAATCTCTTTATTGTGAAAGTGCAACTTACAAATGTAGATTTTTTTTGTTATGTAACTGCACTCAAAAACAAAACAGTGGAAAACTTCAGAGCCTACAAGTCCACTCAGTCCTACTTCTTGTTCAGCCAATTGCTAAGACAAACAAGTTTGTTTACATTTACAGGCGATAATGCTGCCCTCTTCTTATTTACAATGTCACCAGAAAGTGAGAACAGGCATTTGCATGGCACTTTTGTAGCTGGCGTTGCAAGGTATTTACGTTCCAGATATGCTAAACATTCATATGCTTCTTCACGCTTCGGCCACCATTCCAGAGGACATGCTTCCATGCTGATGATGGTTAAAAAAAATAACGCGTTAATTAAATTTGTGACTGAACTCCCTGGGGGGAGAATTGTATGTCCCCTGATCTGTTTTACCTGCATTCTGCCATATATTTCATGTTATAGCAGTCTCGGATGATGACCCAGCACACGTTGTTCATTTTAAGAACACTTTCATTGCAGAGATGATGCAAAGAAGGTACCAATGTGAGATTTCTAAAAATAGATACAGCACTCAACCCAAGATTTAAGAATCTGAAGTGCCTTCCAGAATCTGAGAGGGATGAGGTGTGGAGCATGCTTTCAGAAATCTTAAAAGAGCAACAGTCCAATGCGGAAACTACAGAACCCAAACGACCAAAAAAGAAAATCAACCTTCAGCTGGTGGCATCTGACTCAGATGATGAAAATGAACATGCGTCAGTCCGCACTGCTTTGGATTGTTATTGAGCAGAATGCGTCATCAGCATGGACGCACATTCTCTAGAATGGTGGTTGAAACATGAATGGACATATGAATCTTGAGTGCATCTGATTAATTGCAATTAATTTTTTTAATTGCTCGACAGCACTAATTAGTACACTTCATGGACTAATTGCCCTCGAAAAGTTCCATTGGTTTTCAGATTTAAAAAATTAAAAAAAAACCACAGTTTTAACCTTGAAGACACTTGCCATTCAAGATGCAGTTGCAACAGTAAATAAACTTTGACTTAACACAGGTATACACTAAAATCTTTTGCCTGAACAGTAATGTTGATTAGAAGTGTAATTTTTAAAGAAATTCCTATACCAGCAAAAGCCCTAGTGTAGCTACAGGTGTAGTGGCACAGAAGTGCTTTTGCCTTTATAGTTTATTTCACTTTGGGAACCAGTATAAGCTATAATGGCAAAAGCACTCTTTTTTGCGGATATAAGCTGTATCTGCATGAAGAGGGTTTGCTGGTATAGCTTTCCCAATAAACCTTTTCTAGTGTCTGGCCTTAGTGAGGTGATAAAGCAACTGCTGATTATTTTAAATAAAATATTTGGGCATTTCCAGACAATTAATTTCAACAGTTTTATTTACAACAAAGGTTTCAAACACAGTACACTAAAGCGAAGATAGAAACAATGTAACTTACTACCATAGGAAAGTTTGTAATAGGCATAGGTGGTTAAGGCCAACCCAACCCATATTTCCTGGTAAACCGTAGTGTAGTAAATCTTCATGTTGCCCCACGTCTTAGTCAAATATTTTAACATCTGAAAGTTATAAAAAAAAAAAAGTCATGATGATGAATTTTGCTATTACATTCTCACCTGATGTTTTGCATGAATAAAGGAAGTATTTGTTGTCTCTTGAATCAGGACAAAATAAATAAGGAACTTTAAATATAAAGGAAACACTGAATGGTATCCATAAATAGGGTTTTAAAATAGTAACCATTTAACAGTTAAACGGTTTATCAATTAAACGGTTAACAGTTAAGCAGTTCATATGGGGGGAAATATGAGTGCGAGCGGTGCTGCAGCACCCCCACGTTTTACACGGAGCCCCGGCTGCCGGTCCTGTGCCCGGGGTCCCGGCTGCATGACAGCAGTGGAGTCCTAGGCATAGGATGCCGGGAAGCAGCAGAGTTTAATTGTTAACCGAAACCTATAAGACTGAGCTTATCGGTTAACCGGTTAAACTTTTACATCCCTATCCCTAAACTGAATTTAGTTTAATTTCCTATGTTTTTAATTAAAAGTTTATTGTATTAATTGAATGCTTGTGAAAAGTGCACATATATACACACCCCCGGGAACTGAAGTTCTCTATTGCCAAACCAAACAATTGTATTAGATGAAAACAAGGTCAAGAGTACATATCAACACCAAAGGTAAAAAACAGTAGAATGATGTAATTAATATCCCCAAACCAAGCATTAAAAACCCAGAAAATTCAGAGTTAAAGTTACAAGGGGCTGCTGGGTGCTACCACAATAAAAAGAAAGATGAATAATGATAATGGATCAAGTAATCTACCACCGAGTGCTCGACACATGTCCACTCATCCTAAGGCTGCTCACGACTCATTGCAACCAACAGAATTGTTGCATACAAATTAGACAAAGGGTGGTGATTCATTGAATCATAGAATCTCACGGTTGGAAGGGACCTCAGGAGGTCATCTAGCCCAGGGGTCTCAAACTCACGGCCTCTAGGGTTCTTGCGTGTGGCCCGCCAAGCTCCCCCCGCCCTCCCCACCTACCCTGTGCCGCAGCGAGCCCCGCGCCGCTCCCTGAAGCGGCTGAACTACTGTATATCCCTGCAGCCCCGAGCAGGGGGGTGGGAGGTGAGTAGACGGCTCTGTGCTCTTGCAGCTCCCATTGGCTGGGAACCGGGAACCGTGGCCAATGGGAGCTTTGGGGGAGGTACCTGGAGGAGCAGCAAGAACAGCACATGGTGTCGTTCTCCCCCACCCCCCGGGACTCCAGCTGCTTCCTGGAGCGGAGCGAGGCCGGAGACAGGGCAGGCAGGCAGGGAGCCTGCCCTGACCGCGGTGCATGGCGCTGCCACCCTGGATCTGCTCTAGGTAAGTTGCGCTGGGCTGGAGCCCGTACCCTGTACCCCTTCTGCACCCCACCCCCTTGCCTGGAGCCTCTTGCCACACACTGCACCCCAACTCCCTGCTGCACCCCTCGTCCCTCCTGCACCCCAACTCTCTGCCCTGAGCCCCCTGCCACACCCAGCACTTCCTGCCCTGAGCCCGCTCGCACCCTGCACACCTCCTGCACTTCCTGGCCTGAGCCCCCTCGCACCCTGCACACCTCCTGCACTCCCTGCCCTGAGCCCCCGCCACACCCTACACCCCTCCTGCACCCCCTGGGGACAGGGAGGGGGCAGAGTTGGGGTGAGGACTTCAGGGAAGGGATTGGAATGGGGGCAGGAAAGGGGTGAGAAGAGGCAAGGCAGGGCCTCATGGAAGGGGTGGAGTGGGGGCAGGGCCAGGGGCAGCAAGTGGGGGGTGTTAGTGATGCGGCCCTCGAGGTCATCTGAGTTTGAGACCCCGTGATCTAATCCAACCCCCTGCTCAAAGTAGGACCAATCCCCAGACAGATTTTTGCCCCCAAATCCCTAAATGGCCTCCTCAAGGATTGAATTTACAACCCTGGATTTAGCAGGCCAATGCTCAAACCACTGAGAGTTACCTCTGATATCACAATGATACCCACTTTAGAAGTTACCTGAACTTTTGATCTGATACTATCAATAGGCTATGTAATCATAGCTAGGTGCAGTAGTTGCTAATAACATACCTTATTTACAGCCTAGTTTCCTCAAATATAACTTATGTACAGATTCCAATGAATTTTAACTACCTGGAAAGTTTGAAGAGTTTTATTCCTTGATTAAGATCAGACTCATTTGGAACCAGGCCCGCTGATGGGGGTGGAGGGATGGGGGAAATTGCCCAGGGGCGATTTAAAAGGGCCTGGGGGCCCCTGGCCGCTGCTGCGGTAGTGGTGGCAGCCAGGAGCCCCAGGCCCTTTTAAATCGCCTGGGTGGGCCACACTGGGCCCTGTGCTTTAGGGAGCCCTGCGGACCAGCGTGGGTGGTCCCAGAAGTGACGGATTCATCACTTCCGCCCCCATCTCCGCTAGGGACGGCTGTGGGGCCCGGAATTTCTGTTGGCGGGCCTGTTTGGAACAAAGAAAATACTAACATGCTAAGTTTCTTATAGGACACATTTTAAAATAAATGTTAAACTAATTAGTGAATCTGCAGAACTGCAAATTTACAGAAAATCGACTCTATACTGTGGCAGTGTTTGCAAAATAGACACCTTATCACTAGAAAGTGGACTGAGACCAAATTTTTTGCACAGGCCACCTAATAGCCATCATGTGCCACAATGTGCTTGTCTTCACAGGGAAAAGAGGTGTGTTCTTAATTCAAATTAGCTAACTCAAGGTAAAATACTAGTGAAGACAAGACCTTAAAGGTGAAAATGCTCCTTACACTCCCATTTTTCTATATTGTAATTTTGTTACATCTAGGTAAAAAGGATTTTTGGGGGACTGGGAGGAAGTAATTTTAAATTAAGAATAATCAAGATCCCCTTCCTCCCTTTACCCCAAGCCAAAGTGAAAGAGCAAAGGGTCTTACCTAGATTTACTTAAAAATAGTCGAGGGGCGATAGAATAAGAACATGGTCCAGAACGACAGATGCCCATCCCTGTTCTACTGAGATTTAATAAATAAATACATTTAATTAAGAGTCTAACATTTCCTCTCCCAGCATGGCACGTTCACCTTTACTCAGAAAAGCAGAATACATAGTTTTATGAGGCTGCTAAAAATACCATTTGACAGACAGTATGGAGGTAATTAAAATTAACACCATTACTCCAAGTACACTATCTTTGAGACATGGCCATGTTTTATACTCAGTATGTCCACGGATTTGGTATTTACAAACATTTTTGTGAAAAACATGAGATATTTTAATATAACTTCTTCTCAACACTCCAAAAGACATGGGAGTATATATAAAAGCACCATACTGTATAATACTTTACATTTCTGTAACATTTTACCTTGAGAAGCCTAAAGCATTTAACAAACTATACACACAGCACATCTAAACTAACCACATGTGGATAAAGGACAGCAGCTAATGCACTGCAAAACTGTAAGAAGGAAGGACAGAGTTTGCAGGCAACTTTAGGTCCAGGTTCCACTGACCTATTTGCTAATAGTAAATAGGAGACTCTTCCTGGCATATATGTGGGGAGAAAGTGGGAGAAGGGGAAAAGGAGGTGAGACGAATGTCATCTTTGAAGCAGAGACCATCTTTCTTTTTGTTGTTTGTTTACAGTGCCAAGCGAAACGTTGTCCTGGTTCATTACTAGAGCTTCAAAGCACTATGCTACCACAAATAGGCAATATGTAAGCATTCGTTTAAAAGGACATTTAACCCTTACTGCTGTGAAAAACTTCTGAATACACCGCAATAGATTCATAGATTCTAGGACTGGAAGGGACCTCGAGAGGTCATCGAGTCCAGTCCCCTGCCCGCATGGCAGGACCAAATACTGTCTAGACTATCCCTGATAGACATTTATCTAACCTACTCTTAAATATCTCCAGAGATGGAGATTCCACAACCTCCCTAGGCAATTTATTCCAGTGTTTAACCACCATGACCGTTAGGAACTTTTTCCTAACGTCCAACCTAGACTTCCCTTGCTGCAGTTTAAACCCATTGCTTCTTGTTCTATCCTTAGAGGCTAAGGTGAACAAGTTTTCTCCCTCTTCCTTATGACACCCTTTTAAATACCTGAAAACTGCTATAATGTCCCCTCTCAGTCTTCTCTTTTCCAAACTAAACAAACCCAATTCTTTCAGCCTTCCTTCATAGGTCATGTTCTCAAGACCTTTAATCATTCTTGTTGCTCTTCTCTGGACCCTTTCCAATTTCGCCACATCTTTTTTAAAATGCGGTGCCCAGAACCGGACACAATACTCCAGCTGAGGCCTAACCAGAGCGGAGTAGAGCGGAAGAATGATTTCTCGTGTCTGCTCACAACACACCTGTTAATACATCCCAGAATCATGTTTGCTTTTTTTGCAACAGCATCACACTGTTGACTCATATTTA